GGTAAGACTTGTTTTCCTTGCTATTACATGACTGTTTTCAATCTAAGTTTCAAAGAAAGCAATGAATAGAATTCTGCTTAGAATGTAATTAATGAAACCAAAAGACTTTTAGGACATCCTTCTTTTTCCTATAATTACTTGTTAGCAATTCATCAAAAGCAGACTACTCTACCCTTTATCCAGCAAAACCCTTACCTGTCTGATGCATTTTAACTTGGGTTAATAGGGAGATGAAGGCGTATTGCTTGCTTGTTTGAGACAGGTGGCTTTGATTTTCAGCAGATTTATACTTTAAGCAGTTTATAACATATAACATCACCTGTTAATCTGAATAATAAAATCCTGTAGGAGTTCAGCTCAGGGCAAATATGCAAACATTAATTCAAAATCTTGTATCTAGATCTTTGAAACAATAATTTAACTGCATCAAGATATTTAAATAAGAAAAACAACCTCCTACACAGGATTTACTCAAATTATTCATTGTCACTCATCTTTAAATGCCGTATATATTAAGGATCTATCTGCAAATGAAGAGCTATGACATTGAAACAGAGTACTTTATCCACAAAGGAATTACATTTGTAACACACAAAATCGGGAAATGCTCTCTAAAGACATACATTCCTCATTTGACCGCCTTTTTTTAAAGACATATAAAAAACCAGTAATAATTAAAAGAAAAAGAAAAATTCATCAAGCCTCATCACTCTCTTCCCTGCAAGCCCAGCCTTCCTCATCTTCCTTCCATCTATGGTTTAACACATTAATCAACTTATCTTGCAATGCTTCCCCTTCTATTAACAAAAAACCAAAAACCAAGTCACTTTGAACAATTTCTCAGCTGTACCATAAACACCATTTAGTTTTCATATACTCAACAACTGACCCATAAACTTGATCTATTTTACCGTGCTTGCCTGGGCTTCCACATGAAAATTCAGTACCAAGGATCTGTTACTTATCACATTCTATTATCCCCAATATCCTTAAAACACTCAGTAAATAAGTTCCGAACACAATCAATGCTCTGTTATCTTATGCAATGAGAGAACGAAGGTAGGCTGGGTAGTGGAAAATCCCAGAGAAGACTATGGCACCCATGGCACAGAAAATGTGACTAAATCGACGAAGTAGCTTGGGTCTACCCACCCTTTCAAAACCCAGCCCAACTTCTTCCAGGAGGAGGCACGTGCAGATTTTAGCAAGCAGCTGCAGGCTCAGTACTACAACTTTTTAGAGGGTGTAACAGGTCAGGTCCCTCAGTGTGTTTGCACAGAGACGCCAGCCCAAAGCCCACAGGAACAGAGAAGCTGGTACAAACGTTTCAGCGGCGTGGCCTGCGCCGAAGCTGTGAGTAAGAGTCACGTGCCCAACTCGAGTACGGCACATTTGCTCCAACACCCCCCCTGTAAGCCCCAGGAACGTGACAGAGGAATACTTGAACTGACCCTGCACCAGTCTGGCTCCTTCTCAAGTCCTGACTCTGACAGCAACCTGGAAAAATGCCTTACTGATAACAAGGGCTCTACATTCATTTCAAAATGTTTTCCAGAGCAGGACTATTTAAAAAAGAAAACAGATCACACTTTGCAATCAGCATTACAATTCCAGAAAAGAGCCGGACTAGCAGTGACTTTTTTGTTAAGATTTTTAAAGAATGATTTGGAAAAAATCTGTTATAACCTGTCCCTGTTCCAATTTTCAGATAACAAAGAAGTCAGAAATATTTTGAGGAAGATATTTTGCAGCCAATCCCCCTGTTTTGAAGAAAGGAACCAATCGTATTCAGAAACGTGGTAATACTGTAAGAACACACATTAACCACCTGTGAAAACAGCAGCATCCATGAGTGTAAGGACCTCTTACCACCTTCTGCTCCATTAGCTGTAGCAGTTCACTAAAGAGATTAAAAACAACAGAAACACCACCAAGGACTGGAAGTTACAACATGATGAAAAAAATGGATTGGAAGGAAAAACCTGATATGCATTACGTGCTAAATTACCCTGAGAGATTATGCTGTGATGGTTAGAATCATCCCTTGATAATTCAGCAAGATGCACTTAGATCATCTTTGAGGTTACAGCTTTGGTTTGGCATTTTATAAGCCTTGGCTACAGCGGCAGCTAACGAAGCACAGTCTTAGTGTGAGTCGCTGCAGTACGGGCAGCGCAGGGACCAGATTTGGGAAGAACAGCACGCTGACAGCTGGGTGAAGGTCTGGCACTACACAAAGAGAAGATTTTTGTCCTTAGTAACATTTTGCCAAGACAATAAGCAGGTTGCAACTGCCTGATGTCCACTTTGCTGACGATTTGAAGAACAGTGCCCAAAGAGATACTAAGTAAGCTGAGACTTGAAACAGTCTTTAAGGATACTTAAACTTTGGGACTGGTTGTCCAGATACGCTGTGGAAACTCCATCCATGGAAGCTTTCAGGATCTGAGGGGAAAGAGCTCCAGCATGGTTTGGGCCTGGTGCTGACCCAGTTTTCAGCACAAGGGCAGGCTATGTGACAACCTTCCATCCTGAATCAGACTATGATCCCAGAGGTTAAAGGAAACCTATAAACCAGGGATCAACAATTTACAACATGACGATCGAAAGGCAATCGAGCAAAAGTGCGTATGGTTGGGAGCTGATACACAAACCCAGTTGGAGACACATCCATGAATGGAACAAATTCCAGCTCCAGGCTTCCCTAAGCCTAAACTCTGACAGACAGGCCTGTGTGTACACAGGCAAGATACATCTCAAGAGCTGATCTGCTTGCTTCTCTTAAAGGTGGCATCTTCCAGTTCCTATTAAACTCCCAATGTCATAAACTTGTAGAAAAAAAAAATACAATCTACAAAAGTACCTCTGAAAATCTGCCAGCCTCTCCTTATCTAAATGCTTCCAGCATTTACCTTTGCTTATCTCGGCCACAGACACGAGCTCGAGGATGAACACCAGATCTGAGGATGAACAGCAGATCTCTTGCCATGATTGCACTGCTTAAAAGCTTCGTCCTGAAACAGTTCTACACCCAATCCCCCGGAGGTACCTTCGTATTTGCCTCACAAGACACACAATAGCCTAAATATTTGAGATGTTTACTGAGGGAGCATACACAAGCAAAGCCAAAAATCATAGAATCATAGAATGGCCTAAGATGGAAGGGACCTTAGAGATCATTTTAATCCAGCCTCCCTGCCACCAGGGACGCCACCTGTCGACTAGATCAGGCAACACAAGGGGACCGAATGGAAATCGAACCTGCGACCTTAACACTGTTAGCACTACGCTCTACTGACTGAGCTAACCGGCCCGCTAATCAGGAGTGGAGAGCTTAATATCCAGGAGATTTCTGCCAAGCCCAGTCTACGCAGTCATTTCTTCGGTAAATAAATGCACGTACATGCTGATGACCATTTGTCTCATGTGATTCTCAGTATAATCGTATGCAAATCCATAACCATGCTATAAACACTTTCAAGGATATCTGGAGCTTAGGGTCCTTCCTACACATCTTGTAGGAAAAGGTCTTCTGAAAAAGGTAGCCAGAATTACTGCTCTCCTGTAGGCAGAGGAGACCTCTCCTGTCCATCCTGTATGAAGGATTAAATCTTTTCCATCAAGCTGCATTAAAATCTTTAAAATTCAAAATCTGACATGTGCCAGAAAATGCTTTGTCACACAGGAAAATTGTCAGGTTTCTTTTTGTTTCACTGGGATCATGATTTACACAGACATAAGTTAAATTTATTTACTTACATTTGTTCATAAAAGTAATTTATAATCTGAGCAACAAGTAGGTTTATCAATAACTGGAATGTACTTTACCACCAACAAAAAAAAGAAATGTAGGAAGTAATGGTTATTTAGCTTTTTAATGCTCTCACATGAAACCACAGCAATGATGTGTGCAAATGCAGTCATAAAGGATGATCATTATTTAAAAAAAAATCACATGCATTAAAAAAGCATAGTTGCTTTTACAGAGATAGCTGCATGAGCATTTACTTGAAAAACCACTTATTTTGCCAGCTAAGGTACATTCCAAGGGAAACGTACACCCTGAAGAAACTTAATACAATTCATGATTGAAGTGAAAATTTTTTGCAGTTTGGCTGAATATGAGCCAGCAGTGTGCCCAGGTGGCCAAGAAGGCCAACGGCATCCTGGCTTGTATTAGAAATTTTGTGACCAGCAGAAGAAGGGAGGTGATTGTCCCTCTGTACTCAGCACTGGTGAGGCCGCACTTTGAGTATTGTGTTCAGTTTTGGGCACCTCAGTATAGGAGAGATATCGAGGTGTTGGAGCGAGTGCAGAGGAGGGCAACAAAGCTGGTGAAGGGCCTGGAGAACAGACCTTATGAGGAGCGACTGAGGAAGCTGGGTCTGTTCAGTTTGACAAAGAGGAGGCTGAGGGGGGATCTCATCATGCTCTACAATTACTTGAAAGGACATTGTAGAGAGGTTGGTGCTGGTCTCTTCTCACAGGTAATTAGGGACAGAACTAGGGGGAATGGTTGCAAGTTGCAACAGGGCAAGTTTAGGCTGGACATTAGGAAGAAATTCTTCACAGAAAGAGTGGTCAGACACTGGAATAGACTGCCTAGGGAGGTGGTTGAGTCGCCATCCCTGGATGTGTTCAAGTGTTGTTTAGATGTGGTGTTGGGTGATATGGTTTAGGGGTGACCTTGTAGTGTAGGGTTAAACGGTTGGACTTGATGATCCCAAGGGTCTCTTCCAGCCTGAATTGTTCTATGATTCTATGATTCTCTCGCCAGGCAGAGGAAAGGCAGAAGAGTGCACGGCAGAGCCCGGCCTTTCCTCTTCCCCAAATCCCAGTGCGCTCACACTGCATGCTTAAATGCAGTCAGTCACATTAACCAAAGCAAACACTGAACATTGTGGGCTGCAAAATTCACATGCACACTGGGTCACCTGCAGGGCAGCTTCTAAATTTATCAGTTCACCGAAAGAAAGAACAGCTGGGACCCTGCATACGCAAAACCTCAGGAGAGCTCTTGGGATCTACTGAACACAAGTCCCGCTGAAAACACCCTCGGCTGCAAAGCACCACAGAGACTTCTCTCCTTTTCGCAAGATGAGCAGCAGCTCAAGCAAGCGAGCTTTGTTTGGTGCGCCCTGCTTTGTGAAACAGGGAACACGGCACTGAAACGAGAGACTCTGACAAAAATGCACAGAGGAGCGAGTCTCCCAAGGAACATGCAGAGCTCTGGCAGCAGCGATGCTGTTGCGCTGGCTGCGTCGCACTGACCCCGGCAGGGCTGTCTTCTACAGAGCTGCAGCTCACATCTCTCCCCGCAGAGGCTCCTGCTGTGAGAGGTTTCGTGAGCAAAACAGTAGAAGAATCCAAGGAGAAATGACGTTCTCTTATTCCTGTCCAACATTCCTCTATCCTACAAGCTAAGCCCCTTGCTACTGTAGAGACCCTGCATTACTAATTCTTTCATGAATTTATAAAAATCCATCTCAAAAGCAGTAACGATATTTAGCATTTCGCACAAACCAGTCAAAAGCCTGTACTGACAAATGCCAGCACTTGTGCACTTCTCAAGGCAATCTGAGTCTGCTTCTCAGGCTTACAGTATTTCAAATGATCACGGAACACAAATACTCTTATCTTAAACATTACCACAAACTCGTCAGAATTTTTTGGTAACCTCATCAGTACTCTGCAAAAGTGCAATCCAAACGAAGGCACACAAATAAGAGGCAAAGAGGAAAATGAGAAAGGGCATAAAATAAGGTGTAAGGGAACAGAAATAAGAGAATAAAAAAAAGATACAGAATAAAGCATGGCAATGAAATGCTGATTTACAAAGTGACAAATGCAAAAAGAGAAGAGAATTGGTTAAACTTGTTCCCTCATTTTCCCCACCAGGTGAAATGCACAGTCACTTCTAAAAATTTAATCCTATCAAATCCAGCTGGGGCACACAGACTACCAAATAGCCACCAAACTAGTTACAGGGCTTATCTAGACAGGGAATTATTTAATACAGGTACAGAACACACAAGAAGACTCTTATCTTGCAATCACTTTGTAATAAGTACTTCTAATATGGACCACTATGAGACTATGCTCCACTGTAATTGCGGAGTTTATCTCATTTAACAAATCCTAATTCAGATACTTGAGCAGCCGAAAATCATCATGCCCTAAAGACTCTGTTCAAAATCTTTTATCAATCCTTTCTATGAAAAATTCAGGTATTTCCCAGCAGGCTAACATATTTTTATTAAGATAAATGAGGTAATGGTCAAACTTACAGGAAATAGAACATTCCCATTTATTTTAAAGTAAGTTTCCGTGAAAGTAACTTACTTTTAAAAACTACCTCACGTATCTATGGCACACATTACTTCTGACAAGTAAATGTATATATGTGTTTAATATCAATATAAATAATACATAAATATATATATAAAACCAAAACAGTTGTATTGGGTTGGCTCAGTCGGATTTTGG